GAATCTTGCTGTTCCTCCAGCAGTTCCTGAGGTATTTTGCCTACGGCACCTTCTTGATTACTTGGCGTGGTGATCGTCAGAGGGCGCCCCAAAAACAGGTGCAAATCCAGGAGATATGCGTATTCGTCTGGCGACACAAACGAATACGCTATTCCAGAACGTCCTGCCCTAGCGCATCGACCTAGAAGTTTATCATAGTATCAAAGTTTGTCTGTTTTACCAATAAATTCATATAATTTATCGTTGGCCAGTTGAATTACTCACCTACTCTGTGCACGAACAGTTTGGGTTTGGCGGGAAAGTTGAAGTTTATGACGTTATCTAACTGAGGGATGTCTATACCGCGCGCAGCTACGTCGGTTACGATAAGGACTTTCACTTTTCCTAGGCTAAATTTAGCGGCGTGGATTTTCCTCGCAGACGGATCCAGATTCGAGTAGATGTAGGTGTTGCTAATGCCCACTTTATCTAAAACCTAAAAATCAGATTCAAACAATCACAAATTCTTCACATTGGTTTATTCTTTGATCTATCCCGGGCATTCGATACAGTTGACCACAGTTAATTGCTTGAGAAACTGTATAGAATGGGAATAAGAGGAGAAGCCAATGAATGGGTAGCATTATATTTATGTCAAAGGTCGCAAGTAGTGGTAATAGATGAAATAAAATCACGACCAGCTTCTGTCTCATTAGCATTAGCAGCAGTTCCACAAGGCTCAACATTGGCTACGCTTCTCATTATAATATTTATATTGAATGATATTGAAAATTCATGTCTATCTCCACAAAAAACAATAATATATGCTGATGATAACTATCAAATAGTAGCAGAAAATGAACTTCTCCTCTCTGTTCAAGCTGCAAATAAAACGGCTGATGAATTTTCACAATAGTGCACAAATAACGGTCTACTTGTTAATGTAAATAAAACTGTTTTCATGAATTATCGACAAAAGAATCTTACTAACGATCATTGTTCACTAATAAAAATACCTCACAGATCTATAGAGCAGGTGAATCAATATAAGTATCTAGGNTTTGCTGCAGTGGTCTTTCATATACTTTATGTTGTAGCAACTACTTCTCAGTTTATTAGACAATAGTTCTATATAACTTGCCCATTGCAAATGTTTATCGAAAATTACTCCCAAAATTTTCACCTCATCACTACAAGTTATTTGTTTTTCTCTATTTTTGAATAACACAAGTGATCTTTGTTTAGAGCGCCATATTGAGAAAATGTTGTTGGTATCATATCATTTTGTATATTTTGGTTCAAAGTTATATGTTTATATGAAAACTATAGTAATAAATACGCACCTCATGCAAATATTCCACATGATGTTTCGTAGCAGCAAAAACAACAGTTTGCTGTTGGGAATCGATAAAAGACTTCAGGAGTACCAACAGGGCTGGTAGCTTTTCTTCGGGCCTCAATGTAAAATAGAAACATTTCAATTCAGTAGGTAGTTTCGATTCAACATCCAATCTAAAAAAAAAAGGAAAATTTGACCACCTCTGTCATGTTTACAAATAGTTTTCATATATAATAAACAAACCTCATTAAAACGGGATCACTCAAACCAGCTTTCGCAAATTCAACTAGAACTTTAGGCAAAGTAGCAGAAAATAATACGGTCTGCCTCGTGTCAGGCAGCCTACCAATAATATCAGTCAGCTGCTCCCCAAGACCCATTTCGAAAAGGCGATCAGCCTCATCAAATACCACATATTCCACACTGTTCAATTTGAGGTCCATTTCAACGCAGACATGTAAAAATCGTCCCGGAGTGGCTACTATGATGTCTGGATTACCGTGTATGGCTGAGAATTGGTTATCCATTGAATCTCCTCCAAGAATCACAGAAGCTTTCAGCCCCATGAAGCGACCGATTTCCTTTATGAACTTGAGAGTCTAAAATTCCAAATAATTCTATCAGTTTACTTTTTAAAACAAGGTCAGTATAAAAAAAAGTAATAAGTTATTGCAAAAAATGGAACAAAATTTTACAGAAATTACACTTAAGCTCGGGCAAAAAATAATTACTAATAATATTGACCTGCAGAGCCAGTTCTCTTGTGGGAGACAGTATTAGAGCTCTAGCTCCTGCTTTAGCTGACCGAACCTTCAATTTCTCGAACATTGGGATGAGAAAAGCTGCTGTTTTCCCACTTCCAGTTCTAGCCATCGCTACCAAGTCCCTGCCTTCCATAATGAGAGGAATTGTCTGAAAATCAAGTATTATTGGAAACGAAAAACAGTTAAAAGGCACGACTGTTACCTTTCTCTGGATAGGGGTAGGTTGCTTGTAACCTCTTTTGATGATACCTTTGAGAACATTGTAGTTGAGGTTCATGGACTGAAATCCTCCCGATTTTTTGTTTCCTTTTTTTTTGAGACCATCGTCAGCATTATCATTCAAACCTACAGAGGCCGTGGGATCTTCAAAGCCAGGCACATCAACCATTTTGATCAAAATATTTTTAACATATGAAATGAACACATTACCACATACAAATATCTTTAAATATATAGGTTATGTTACAGCTGTCATATGCATAAGTAACAACCACAGAACTATAACTTATTATAGTTCTGTGGTAACAACGTGCTATTACTTTCACGCCACTTAGCGGACATATTCAGTAGTTTCAGAAACAGAATTCTTCACTGATCACCAACAGAATTTGATTGCGTTTTTATTTAGTTCTGGTTCAGTGTGTTTTGTTCTAACTAATTTTATTCGAGATAAGTAATTTCGCCAAAAGTTATTCGTTCTGTGATGGTATTGGATGATACCTGACAAAAATCCATAACGTATTTTTGTCGAGACTGACTCAATTAGAGTGTCAACAAAACACCACTTTCATCTATTCTAAAAAAAATTATGGCAGTTATAACAATGAGTATAAGGAATAGTCTATATACAAAGGTTGGAGTTCCGTGGTGACTGTGGTAGTGGACGAACGTACCCATAACGTCCGTCCACAAATGTTTAGCTATTTACACCATGGACTTCTTCTCCGATCGCGACAGAGGACGGTTGTGCCAATAACGGCCGTCCTCAAAGATGGCAAATAGATGTCGTGGTAATAGATGTTTTTCTCCGAAAGCCTCTCGAGAAGGATGCAAACAGGAAAAAATTGAAGTGTTGTTTTTTCAAAGAAAAAATGTCTGTGCCAGGCTAACTTAAATGTCGTTTTTATAAATGAAATTCGTTAACAACTGGCTAGATAGCCTTAGTTGCTGAGGCAACTAATGAAGAAGAAGAAGAAGTATCTATACTGTATTCAAAAAACACTTTAGAAACATTTCTCGCTCCAAACGTTTTAACAAAAACAAATTGACAAATCTCTAGGCTGTCTATGCATTTTATTCGTGGTCAAGTTTATATGAACGGTTTCATTGATGTGGTATAGACGAACTCTAAGTCCTTAAATAATGTGTTACATAAACCCACTACAGTCTTCTCTCTCTTCTTTATTGGCCGATGCTTCCTGTTCAGGCGCAATTGGGGGACCCACTACAGTATTTGAAACAGATTACAATAACTACGCAATCTTTTGTAATATTAGATGTCAAAATGTACTCATTACTCCTTTATTAGGAAAAACGACCTTATGACAAATGTGAAAAAATGTTAAATTTATTGAAAGGTAGATGTATAAAAACCGAAAACTTGGCTTCTGCGGAGAATAGCGATATAACACAATGAAGGTCAATAAACAATAACAAAACACAACAGCAACACATTGCGTGGATTTTAATATAAACCGATGTCAACAAAACAAAATGTTTCGACTGTGCCAACTGCCATCTGTTGGCACAACTTATGTATAGTGCATCGTTCAGGTGGATGTCTAAGGAAGTAAAAAAGGCGTGAAACTGTCAAGATACTTATCTAAACCACTGCCTGAAGACAATGTTTAAACGTAGCTGTTATCTGTGATATTCGAAAAAAAATCTGTTTGTGCGTTGCCAAATCAACAATTAAATCTGATGTGTTCGCTGCTACTTCTAGACGCAGTTTTACGTCGAGAAAAAATTCAAATTGTGAAGGTGCTAAAATTTGTGCAAAAATGGCAGCGACAAAAAGGGAAGAGTATATATGAGAATACTCATCATAGAAATAAAGTATTTTTGACCATCCTAACTTAAGTTGGAACTTTGGCACAAAACACACCAGAACAAAAATAATCTCTACCGCAGGGTGACCACATGCGGTACATTTCTACTTTTTCAACACAAATTGAAAAATTGCAGAAGATGAATTTTCGCCAGTAGATTTGGATAAGACGCCTTGGCGATAGAATTTTCATTTCAATGTAAGTGGCGACATCTACAGCAAATGATGTGAATTCCTTGTTTCTGCCCGCTTCGATACACAGATCACAAAATGAATACAGATCATAAAACATCAATTATACGATTGCTTCTTACCGTTTTCTGAATACTCCGATCTGCGAATAAAGGAGAAGAAGAAGATAATACATATACATAACCTCATTTCACTTTTCGTTTTCAAAGTTTAATTTCAAACATTGAAATATTTCTGTTTTTGACTCTTGAAATCTAATATTTGAAATAGTTCAAGTGTTTAAAATAATTAACAACAAAGAACCAACTTTCTATTTCAAGTATTAGACCACGCCCATTGGCCATACCCGTGAGAAGGAAGGCCTACTAAATTCAGTCATGCTATTCCGTGTTAGGAATCACACGTTTGAAGGTAAGACCTCGTTAGTCCTTAGCTTGCACAAGTTTCTTAACTTCTGAGAGTTGTCGTTCGTATGAGGGCGACAGCTTTTCAATGGAAAAACAGATTTAAATGTCTTTACAAACACCACCTAGTGGTCGAAAACTCAAATTTTCATTATGTTGTTGCTCTTCAAATATATTGCAACAGATTTCTCAAGTAAAATGTGGTCACGAGTGAGTTGCTAATCAAAACAAAATTAGCATCAGATGACAAACTGTAGGCTCTAATAGATTAACTAAATGCTTGGCGAAAGACATTATTTTTTTGTTCCAGTGTGAGAAAATTGTTTCTGCAGTATTATTAGTATTAAAAAAAAAAAAACAATCTAATTTCCTTTCAACTTTTTATGTAACACCTACTCAAAAAATTCGGGACATCTTTCAAAAAACGTCATTTCAATAACGTATATTTCAACTCTGGAAAATACAAAAAAAAACTCCAGCTGTAAGATTCTTTTTATTCACCTTTTTTACAAACAATTCTGTTAAAAAATGACAAACTAGCTTTTTTGAAACTCACTTGCACGAAAAAGAAATATTTTCGACCAGTGAGTAGCTATGAAGACTATTAATGTAGTAACAATATTTAAATATTACCTCAAATATTAAATCTTCTTAATCCTAATTGAAGAAAAAAATTTACAGAACCTAAAAAAATTTAAATAAAGCGAGATCTAGCGATTCGTTCAAAGTTTTCAGAGAAGCCATGTAATAAAACACTCCTTCCAATTAAATATAGGATCACAGTTGTGAAAACCTCCAATAAACCTTCAACGAATAACTTTCTCCCAATATTTCTTTTTGTTACTCATTATTTTCGTACAAAATAAAGAATAACCACAATAACAACAATTTCTAGATGAAACCATTCGCAAAATCATTACGGGGAAAACGAATCGAAGGGGTCTTTACTGATTATGTACAAAAATAAACATTTTCACAGTTTCGAGTCATTTTTCCCGAACGGAATAATTTCAGCTAGAAAGACTTATACAATAGACGAAATATCGACCGTTGCACGAAACTTTCACATCTGAATATATGATCAAAGTATAAAATTGTAAAACAAACGCCTAAATTAGCTTAGAACACATTATTGCTCAACAAATGGGCTTCAGTTTACTGATTTTCGTTTTAGAGAGATATTATGACAGTCTTTCCCCTTTTTGTCTACAATTACATTGTCAAAGTAATGTTGTCTTCATACGGCTCATACTACTGGCATACACAGTGAGAAACTACTTTCTTTGATTACTTTATAACGTGGAGATGTAACCAAGACTAGAAAACTTCTCATTTCAATCTAATAAACAACATTTTCACTGGACAACTTAGAAAGATCGGCTCGTTTGAAAGATCAGTACAAAATTAAAATATTGGTCCTTCGAGAGTAACAAACGCCTAAATTAGCTTAGAACACATTATTGCTCAACAAATGGGCTTCAGTTTACTGATTTTCGTTTCAGAGAGATATTATGACAGTCTTTCCCCTTTTTGTCTCAGAGCCATTTTGTCTACAATTACATTGTCAAAGTAATGAGGCAAAAGATTCGGTACTCTAGTTGTCTTCATACGGCTCATACTACTGGCATACCCAGTGAGAAACTTCCTTCTTTGATTACTTTATAACCTGGAGATGGAACCAAGAATAGAAAACTTCCCATTTCAATCTAATAAACAACATTTTTACTGGACAACTTAGAAAGATCGGCTCGTTTGAAAGATCAGTACAAAATCAAAATATTGGTCCTTCGAGCCGCATATTCCAAGTATTACTGGGAATTTTTGTAGAATGACTTTCTCTTTACCATTCCTCTATAAAACATAGAACTTAGCTGAGAAATTTAACACTTTGTCGAAAAAAAGATTTGAAGTTGCTTTTGTATTGAACATAAAAGGAATACACTATCAGAAATAATTGGTCTACAGTTGAGGTGTTCCTTAAAGGTTTAAAAGAACCTGTTTTTTTTCATCCCGCCATTTTTGGATAGGCCTTTTTAATTAATCTCACGGAGTTTGGTCCTTCGAGCCGGACTTGAATTAATTCTAGATGTATCTGGTGGAAAAAATCAACCTCTAGAAAACGAAAGTCTGGAATATTAAACCATGATGAACAATAATAAGTCGCTACTAATTCAGGCATTGATATTTCCAGTGTATAAAAAAAAACACAGCAATGAAGACTGCTTGTATAAAGAAAAAAAGGTATACATATATAGAGCAAAAAAGACGTATAAACTGTAAAAAGAGGGAATTTGTACACAAAAGTATAACTAAATTATTCCGATGGTCAACCGGATGATAAAAAAAATCTCTGTATTTGAATTGAAATATCAGTTTCGCAAAAGAAAAGTGAACAACTTAGTTGCAGAAGGAAAAAGAAAACATGCAAAACTTTGGTAAATTACTAATTATGGATACTTTGTTCCCTAATTTGAAAAAATAAAGTGTATGTACAATTTTTCATTTTAAAGATACCTCAAAATAAATATAAGACGATCTCCAATTTGGGCTTAAACAACAAAAATAAATATTTCATTCTTCACAATGACGGGTTATCGAATTTAGGTCCTTTCACCACCGTTATCGTGCCGTAAGGTTCTTCTTGTTCCAGCTCCAAAACGTGAAACTTTTTCAGAACCAACAAACTGTAGAACTTTTGGGAAGCCTGAAATTGACAACATTACACACATAAATTCGATGAAACAGGCATGAGGTTACAGAATATTGATGCATTATTGTTACTGCTACAGTAAAATTTCGTTTTCCGGACTTTTAGTTTTTGAAAAATGTTCAATCAACTATCGAGGAACTCACTTCTGGTAAAAAAATTTAAACTGACTTCACTTTTTTCTATGCAAAACTAGTTTTTTCAATATTGTAACTTTTTCAGTAAACTATTTGCTGTCATAAACATAATTATTTATGAAACTAAATTACAGTTTCACAAGAAACTTTTATGTTGATTCCGATGGAAGTGCGTCAAAGTTAAATTCCGGTTTTTTTTTTCCGTGGTCTGCAGGTTTTCATGTCTGATGCAACTAGAATTTTGAAATCATTACATTCTCAATAATTCTGCAACACATGACATGTTTTTCATGTCCAGGAAGCACTATTATATCAGTTATAGGAAATGCAACATACCTAAATCTATTGTGCCAAGTGCAAGTGTACACAATAGGATTTATAAAGTAGAATATCTAGGTACGTATAAATTATTTCCACTTGATATAGGCGCTGTTGCGAATATGTGAATTAGAAAGAAATCCCTTTAAAAATTAAAACCCAACATTCGAAACATCAATTTGAATACTTTTCGAAGTGAATTTGAACATCTCATGAATTAAACTCAACTTTATATTGTTCAAACTTGCATTTGCTGTAATAACCCAAATTGAGGAACATTCCCCATTACCCCATGTGATCAACAAATACCTAAGATTCGCCAATATATATGCATTGTAAACCAAGTGTCTATTACTGAAACTCAAGTAACTGGAACACCTATATAGAGCTCCTAACATTGATACAATTTTATCATTAATATGTTCTATGTGTCCTGACCAGTTTAACTTATCATCTATTCTGAGTCCCAAATAATTAGTTTTTGCAACATTCATTAAGGGTAAGTTATTTATTCTTAATTAAATATTTCCACAAATTCTATTCTTTTTTGTTTAAATAGCATGTAAACGGTTTTTGCAGAGTTCACCTTAAGTTTATTATGTGCAAGCCAATTTGAGTATTTCGAGAGATCTTCATTAACTGCTTTCTCCAGTGAATGTAAATCAGATCCACTGTACAAAAGGACCGTGTCATCGGCGAACGTGAAATACCTTCCCTAAGCCTGCCTCAGTGACAGAACCATCAGTGTATATAACAGGAGTCCCAAAATGGATCCCTGTGGTACACCACAATTGTTATAACAGTCAATTCACAGTTGTCTATCTATCTATCATTTTTCATAATTTTCATTCCTCGCCCTTGACTTTCGAAACAAGATTAAAAAAAGAAATTTTGGTGAAAGAGAAGTTTTTTATTCTGTAGAAACATTTGAAATGAGTGGAATATTTCAGAAAGTAAACTGGAGCGCCAAGTTTTGATTTTAGATTCGCGATCAACATATGAAAATATAGAAATCTAACTGGAAATTTAAAAACGAAATTTCAACATAGTCATCATCAAGTTCTTTTATATTTTACTTGAGTTATTCAAAAAGGACAAAACAGACACCTCTTACGTTGCCGAACAAAGAGTTGTCAGAACGAATGCACTTTAAAATAAAAGTATATTCAAATTCATACTCTATCAAGAATTATAAAATAACTGAGAAAAATTTGTTCAAATCACTCACCTGTTTTTTGTTGTTTCTGTGACACATTTCCGTGAGGGTGATTTTGTCCGTCTGGTGGAACTTTTGTTTGACGACAGTAAACATTTGATATGCTCTTTTGTTCAGTACCCGTTCTTCGAACTGCTCGTCCGTTTCATCGACTTGCTGCTCTTCAACCTGAACGGCATAAAATTTAAATATATTTTACAATTTGTTAAGCTGGTCCAAGATTATTATTCTGCTAAATTGACATTTCATTATAATAATAATACTAGAAGAAGATAAATCGGGTAGTTTAGTACTTCGAGCCGGATTCAAATTCACAAGAGCTTTTCCATCAACTCTATAATCAAAACGAAAAAAATAGCCGCCCAAGTTTATGCCATGAACAATAATGACAATTTTTTTTGGAATCACTCATTCTCTACAAGTGTGGAGTATTGTTTGAAATAATGGAACCAGCTCAGGTTTCATGAATAACAAAAAAAGGAGCTTCTGAATAGTGAAAAACAAATTACTGATACCAAGACAGAACGTAAAATTTCCACAAAACCTTGGAATTTGATCCTTGAAGACAGATCTAAACATACTTGAACTCTCTATTTTCCCATTTGTTAGAAATTAACCACCAAATATAAAATCAAAGCAACACCAGAGTTTACAGTGGAATATATTGAATGTGAGGTGCTATTTAAAAAAAAATCTTTATATTTGGTCCTTCGAGCCGGATTCAAAAGTACTTATAAGAATAAAATTTCAGGTATCCAATCTTTTTATAGAATGATCGTATTGCAACAAAAATTATCATTATTATTACTATTGTAAGAAGGTTCTTGAACATTTTTTTTGATGCCAAACGTCCAGGTAGTGTACGTGAGACTTTCACAGTTAACAAAACCTAACAGGCGTTTCAAATTTCCAGGTAGTGAAAAACAGTTCTAATAATCAAAATTTCGAACTTAACTACAACCAGTAGAAATCATTAAAAATAAGACCTCACATCTCATTTCTTCCAGATAAAGATTCCAGATATGTGGCAGAATACAACAAACAAGACAATTTCAATAAATATGAAATTTAGTCCTTGGAGCCAGACTAAAAATAGGAACGAATAAGTAACCCGGGCCCGTCTCATTCAACTGTCAACCACCCATTCAGCACTAGATTTCAGTTAGGTCATGCGCAAGGCAGTTATAACTGAACCTTGAAATTTGGTCCTTCGAGCCGGACTTTAAAACTATAAGGACCAATTAATAAGTAATGAATATTACAAAGTTCAACAATATATATTGGAAAACTCACCGGTCCTGCTTCATACTCGTAATCGCCAACCCAAGGAGAATGCGCTCTCTCCGACATGCTACCTGCAGGCGTGTGCCCTCTGAGCTGCTCATCATAACCCATATTTGCCATCTGATTCTGAAAAACAAGTACAGTCAGCGTATCAAAATAAAAACCACGACAAACAAACGCACCTGGTCATATCCCATATTTTCCATAGGTTGCAGGTCGTTTTGGAGATTCTCGAGGGGTTCCAAAGGAAGGTTGGCGTCGATGCCGGAATGGTGAGGCGTCGGCGCTCCCATGTCGTGAGCCCCAAGCAGATCCTCAGACGTGTGCGCAGGTGTCATCGGAGGAATGTTACCCATATTTTCTTGTTCTTGAAGAATCGAATGAACCTGAAAAAAAGACAGGTCGAGTTCTACAAATATTTTCAAGATATAGAGTACTTTTTACTGGAGCATAAAATTTGACCCCACGTTGGGCGCCGAACAATAACAAAAAAAAAACCTTTTGTTATATGGAAGAAACACATGTAAAGTGAGTTCGAGTTATATCAAGGAGGTTGCGTACAGCGCCATCTGCCTGCGAATAGATCAAGCAATAATGTCGATATATCAAAGAGGTTGCGTACAGCGCCATCTGCCCGCGAATAGATCAAGCAATAACGTCTATAGATCTGTCAAATACAGATCCCGAGCTTGAGAGTTACAAACATACATACATACAGGTGGAGCTAATATAAAGCGTGTAAAAAAAATACGCATTCATCATTTTCAAAATCAGAACAGTTTCTTTGTAGATCACAGACTCTGATTTTGTCAACTAGAAAAGGTTGTAGTTTGTTGACGATTTCAAACTGTATCAGTAAATTCATTCCTTCCTAGATTGTTTCAAGTTTTCGAAATGATTTTCATCATTGTCGACTTTAGACAAGTATGTTGCTTTTGAAATGAATCATCTGAGACAATTAAATAATGTGGTCAGCTTGATGACGCTCAAAAGAGTCTACTACGGATTATTTCACTCAGTTATGTCATATGGTATCCTGATTTGGGGTCGATCAGGCAGAATTCTGTTCAATGCAAAATCCAAACGAGAAAAAAATCAGGTAAACATAAAATGGAGTGTTCGGAATGCTCTGCAGTATATATAGGCCAAACCGGTAGAAATCTTAACGTTAGACTCCGTGAGCACGACTGTGCATGAACATCTGCAAGAATCAAAACACAAGATAAGTAAAAATAATCTCAAAATCGTACACATATGAAATAAATGAAAGAAAATGAATTTGTAGGAAGCCATGGAAATTAATAAATCAACTAGCAGACCCGGCCACGCTTTGCTGTGGCTAAGGTTTTTGTTATATTACATTGTAGTAAACTATTCAAGAGGAACGGTAGGAGAACATCAGTCACGGGGACCACCATGCTTTTTTACATAGATGCTGTTTGTAAAAAAATATGGCGACCTCCATGAAAGATTTTCTACTACCGTAAACCCTTAGTACAATGAAATTATTTATGAACGAAGACGGAAACGTTAAATAACTTGGGCATGTATATTAAAAATAACAAAGATAAAAGTTCAGTTTCAGAAAAATCAGGAGTGTATAAATTATCGTGTGGGTCATGTCCGATGTTGTATATAGGTCAAACTGGAAGAACGTTTAAAACCCACATAAAGGAACACAAATATAGTTTTCAGAACGGAAAAATAAATTCCACATATGCCAGTCATCTAATCTCGGAAGAATATTAGTTCAACCATGAATACAAACCCCTCCATTTCCAGAAAAAAGGTTTGAAACTTAACCTGTTGGAGAGTATGGAAATAAACAAATTCAAAAACTGTCACCATCTTATGAACGATCAAACTGAATTGAATAATTCGCCTTTATTGAATTTGTTCACACGCAGGTAATAATAGTAAGGTATATTTACAGGTAGATTTTCGAAAAATGTATTGATACCTGACTTTTTCAGGTAGATTTATTACATAGGTAGACGAATAGTTACTAGGTTATAGTATATAAGGTGTAATTTAGAAGTAACTTTAGTTATGCTTGAAGAAGCAATTGTATAGCGAAACACGTGTCGCGGTTTTTGTAAAACCCTTATAGTGAAAATCATAGAATAAACTCTATTTATTAGTTTTTTTTTAAGGTTACGTTAGGTTAGATTCGACGGTTTCCCTACACGTGAACATGTAACGTATAGTTGCTCATGAGAAAAACATGGATTTTCCAAATCTAAACCGCAAATGGACATTGCTTGGCCTTGAGACTTATTTATAGACATGGCAAAAGCTAAACGAATTGGAAACTGTTGCCTTCTGAAGGGTATGGTAGAATCTGACGGTATCATTGGAATACTTGGCAACAGGACCATTTTTCCTTCAAACTTCCCAGTTAAAATGGTTGCTTCAAGAATATTTCCGGTGATCTTTTTGATGACCAACCGCATAACGTTGCATAATTGAGGTGGATTCAAATTACGTAGGAGAATAAAGACATCAGATCGCCTGGTAACAACTGTTGTATCTGGAAGTTAATTTCGTAAACATTGTATCTTGTATGACACGTTTGTAGGTTTAACATAGCAGCGCCATCTATTGATTACTTACTCAATCCAGTAAACACATATCGCCATCTGTTTGAAGTTAACAGATAATTGTGAATGACAAATAATTTGCAATAAAATAATATTGCGACTACAAATTAAGATGTAAGCTATTCTGTCTTCCAAGTTGGATCAAACTGCACACGGCGTGCAAATTTGATTAAAATCAGTTAAGTAGTTTGGGAGTCCATCGCGGAGAAACAACGTTGACACGTAACTTATATATATTGAGATTAAAAACACGAAATATATAACCCTAAACGAGCAACTCGATATATGTAGGTCTCCACTCTTGAATTTATAAGTTTCAAGACTCTGGTAATTTCTATACTCTCCAGTGTTGAATTTTATAGTTGGCACCTAGAGTAGAATCCAGTTCAGATTGAATATTAGTTAGGCCGAGGCCTTTCAAATAAAAGTATTGTACCCCATTACGATGACCAAATTTCTCCAATAATAATAATAATTGTAATTTATTGAACAAGATTACAATTTTGCTCAACTGGCGATCGACCTAACTTTCTCCATTTTCAATTTCGCTACTGGTGGCTGCCAAACAAATACTAAACAAAGCAGCATCTTCAAATTCGAAACATATGCTCCATGGATTGTGTACTATCTAATACAGTGATATTTTTGAACAACTACCGCCATCTCTAGGTCAGGCCAGGTACTTCTAGGACAACCCTCTTATATGGTACATCATTCAAAGATCAAAACAGTCCATTCAAAAAAACTTACTTGATCAGCAGGTAAATGAGGCATCTCTTCGATATGTTGCAAAGGCGTCGGTGGTGCGGGATAGCCTGGCGTTTGGGGATACATCATGCTGGGGGTGGGAGGCTGCATCATACCTGGCGAATGCGAAGGCATCATACCCGGCGTGGGAGGCATCATACCTGGAGTTGAAGGCATCATACCCATACCTGTGAAAAAAAATTATGTTCCAGAGATGTTAAAAGCTACTGTTGGAATATACATTGTTATTTGTATGTTAAATGTGTTTTTTTTTTTAATAAATAGCCTCTATCTTGTAGGCATCTACTACCTATCTAGTCACAAGTTTAGTTTTGCGTCAACTTTTACTGCTAGCTCCCTATTTTGAGATTTCATCAAATATAGTTTTCATCAATAATTACATTCTACCAAATATCAATTTCTAATACAATGATAGTCACAAAGTCAAACATCATTTGAATCATTTGAGAATTTAGGAAAATTTCGAGTTGCAACTCAAAAATTATTTATTATAGAAGAGATTTGAATCAATATTCAATTGAATGTGTTATTTTAAGTTGTTGTATTTTGTCCAATACACACGTACATCGTTTCAAAGTTAATTTGAATAATAATAAAGACTTGTAATCAAAACAGGAGCTATATTTCGATAGGTTTTTTTAAAAACTTTATTGAACATGAATTTTTACTATACTCGTCATTACTGAAGTGTGAATAGGGTTTTCTTCCAATTCTGACAAACAATTCCATTTTATTTAATATAATTTTGTAACCAAAAAATGAACTATACCTTAAACAATATAACAAGAGTTGTAAACAAAAAAGGAGCTATATCTTGAGATTTTCTCAAATAGAAATCAGTTACTATACTGTCCTGATTAACTAGTGAAAATAACTTTAAACTAATTTTGACAAACAAATACTATTGCGGACTTCAAGGTTTATTCAAATAATAAAGACTTGTAACCAAAAAGGAGCTATATTGCGATACATTCTTTGAAATTTCTTGGAACTGAATCTTCAAAACTGTTAGGGCTTCAACCCGATCCTATAATTTCTAACAAAGCCTATAAATGTTCTTGAATGAAAAGCGATAAGTATACTGGCTATGGGTTTGATACATTTTTGTTATTAGTTTTTCTTTTGTATTGAATACCATAGCTTCCTAGCTGAAAAGGAGCTGTGTTTTGAATAGTATTTCAAAATTAACTTGAATATAGAAATCTCAACTGTGATGTAAATGGTTTATGTTCGAATAGGAATTTAGTCCCATTTTAACATTCAATTCATTTCTTTTTAATGAAAACTGGTAAGCAAAAATGAAGCTATATTTTGAAAAATATTTCAAAAAGTTTACTGAACAGACATTTTTACTATTCTAATCATAACTGAAGTGATTATAATTTTAGTTCAATTCTGACAAAAATTCTATTTTTTCAATACTACAGTCTTGTAATGAAAAAAAAGACTATTGCTTAATCAATATCACATTTTTTGAAAGTACAGAGTTGTAAACAAAAAAGGAGCTATGTATTTTGAAAAATTTATTGAACAGAAGTTTCAACTATACTCATCATGACTGACGTGTGAATAAAATTTCAATCCAATTATGACAAAAAATATAATCAATATAACATTTTTTCAACTTTACACAGTTGTAAACAAATAGGGAGCAACATTTTGATCACTATCTTGAGATTTTCTCAAATAGAACTTAGTTACTATACTCTCCAAATTGACTTGTGAAAATTATTCAAAACTAATTTTGACAATCAAATAGTATTTGGTAATTCACAGTTTATTTATATATAATTACGACTTGTAGCTACGTATTTTTTAAATGTTTTTTAAATACAAACTTTATGTTGAAATTGTTTTTTGATTGTGAGCAAAAAAGGAGCTATGTTGAAGTAATGACTTTCGAGATATCCTTTAATAGAAATTCCTCACTCTAGCGGTAACAATCAACGTGTGAATAATGTTCTAGTCCAATTTTGCAACGAATCACCTTATTTTTTAAATACATCTTGCATAATGGTGTTATGATTTATAGCGAATTACCAGCCAAGTTTGAAAATATTAAATTTGTACTAAAATTCAAAGTACTTGTGAAAAAATATCTATTAGATGAATAGTATTTTCACCTTTGACAATTATTTTCTGCACATGTTTACATATTTATTTAATTATGGACCTGCCGTTTTACTATAAACATAAACAGTGTGAGGGAAAAATAAACAATTGACTGATAATATAGAATACTAAGAATTCAAAATAACAATTTATTATTAATAACAACAATCAGCAGTTTCTTCATAGTATGCCAATACGTTTAATCAATATAGATGCTATTATTATTTGCTAGTCTAAGCATTCTGGTAATGGATTCATTTAAGCCATAGTTAGAATGGTAAGGCACTTTAAACAACTCCGACACTGATTCTTCTTGAATTTACATTGAAGTCAATCAGTTGTGTTACATATGGACACTTCATATCACATTTCCTAACTTTATGAAGAAGTCTTGAATCAATTTCAGCTCGACGGTGCTCCAAAGTGGATAAATTGAAAAGAAGCAGACCTCTGATATCCAAGCTTAAAAGCACATGATCTCAGAAATTTGTTTTGTATTACAATCCCAGATGTATCTGCCTGATTGTTTTTATATATACTCTGTGATGTGATGTTGTTCTTCTATATTTTTCATTATTATTTTGACTTACCATATGTACATGCTGTGCCAAAATGAATAATAAAGATAAAGAAAATTTTACACTGGCGAGAAGCGAGAGCGGGGTTTCCTCATGGATGTGCAACGGTGTTCGACTCTGAAAAGATAGAGAGGATCAGCTCGTGTTCTGTGTCTCTCGTGCGATGAAGGTTGCGAATTTGTCCTACATCCAAGTGGTACCAACCCACACAACCAAACCATCAAGATGTTATCCATTTCGGAATAAAAATCAGATTTCAGATATCCCAAATAAAAGCCAAACCATCCCCTGAGCTGAAAAAACTACTTTATAAAAAGAAATTGGCTCACAAGATCTACAAAGTGTTCAGAAAGCTACGTAGCATTTAGCAATTTAAGATCAAGATGTAAATCCTTATACAGATTAAATCCAACGCACTGAACATTCTATAATTAATAATGTTGAATGTGAACCTTACGATGGCTATACAAAAAATGAATAATACTCTAGCAAGTGTCAACANTCTGAAATATGTCATCTTTGTTTGTCTCATACAGGTAACAGATTCATTGTCCTTTATTAGCTATAACCGATGTTGCCAAATGGTGAAATAGAAACGATTCCCTTTAAATGTTGAATGCATTATTTCATTCCTCTTTTTTCAAGTATTTAAATAATTTTTTAAAGAAAAAGATTGAAATGATAAGTTTAAAATGAAAACTACTTGATTTTCGTCAGGGGGAACATTCCCCATTATTCGAACTTCCAGGATCCAAATCATCTTTTGGAAAAACATTTTTCTAGTTTACAATTTTATGTGAAAATCATTTCAACGAAAGACAAAATATAGAAGGAAAAAGGCGAAAGAAAGGAGAAGAAACAATGGAGTAACAAGAGAAAACTTTTTGAGAGAACTTGAGAGTGTTTTTCATTGAAAACATGCCTGAAATTGAATAGAAGAGTGGTTTTCAAATTTGCTCATACACTCCAACAAGTGTTGGGCAACCTGAAAGACAGAGTAAGCAGAAAAAGTGTCCTGGAAATATGTTGGTCAAACTAAACAAACTATAATAACAAGTTACAAGGTGTATGTTTCGCATATTCTGTTTCGTAGACCAGCAAAGTCTATGTAGAAGTTCCGTCTTTATCATCTCCTGATAATGCTTACTTGTTTAGCGAAATGAGCATCAAAAGACAGCGTTTTAGTTTTGATTAGGGATAAGTGCCATCTTTAAAAACTTCGATACATACGTTAACTACTGACTTAGTGCCGCAATACTGTAAAAATTCACATAAATCCTCCTCCACCGCAAAAAACCACCCTTACTCACCTTGAACAGTATTCGAGCTGGTATCAACCTGGCGGGCAGCGCAAACAGTTTCTCCACTCCACCCGTTTCCTTCCAGTGCATCAGCCTCTTGGTGGGAGGCGCGAGATCGAGCGTGGTGACAATGTCGCTGGTGTCGCTCAGCTGGTTCTTCATCTCCTCGCCGGAAATGTTCTTAACCTCGTCGACGATGAGCTTCCTTTTCTTCCTGGTCTTTGTTAGACCTAGGTAGAATTCATCTGTTTTTTATGTTAAATTTATCAACAACGTTCTCATGATTCGGTTGCGGTTAGTGTTGAGAGGCGTCTCTTGCTTGCAATCTTGGCGATCGAGAGGAAAAACAGAGTTCAAGTGAGCTGCCAGCTACACCTCCGGATCTGACATCTACTGGTTTTTTTATTATAACAAGAAGGTATCCAAACACCAGACAATAACAAAGTCAACAACCATAAATGATGTTCACTTAAAACCTTGAGCAGTTTTTTTGATATGACAAAAAAGAAAAAACGCCAGCCCATGATCAATTCATAGGAGCAGTTATTGAACGGGTTATTGGCCTGCTAGAGCTCCTGACTATAACCCTACAGATTTTTTTCGATGCTATCCTAGCGATTCGAATTTAAATTCAACTGTCAGATTCAGCCAGTAACAAATTATTGACCTACTAGATTTTCGAATTTACACTCATAGGTTTTTATGTAGGTCAAAAATTAGGTTAGAAAAATTCCAATTGCAAACAGAACTTTTTTGTAAAATATAGTGAAAGCACCAGTCCATATTGTAACTTTTACCCACTTAAAGTTGGGTAAAAGTAAATGGTTTAAATCACTTTGCTAATGAATTACATTATATTAGGCCTCCTGAACCTCCCGAATTTACGCCAGTAGACTTTTCAATTACAAGAACAAATAATGCTACAAACGAGGCTGTCAAGTTGACTAAAATAAAAAAAACCCTTAGAAAATTTGGGTAATAGCACTTCTTAGAATAGATAATAAATTTTTTCTCTGATTTTGTGTTTTGTACATAAGAGGAATGATCAATAAGTATTAACCACTTCTGCAAAATTATGAAGAATATCAAATCAATTCTTGTATTTTCATTATCGTTACAAGATTGCAAGGAAGAGACGTCCCATAAAAAATATTTGAACTCAATATAATGAAGAATAAATCATAATGATTTTTTTGTCATCGCACTTTGATCTCAAAGAGTATAACACAAAAAACAGAAGAATTTTAAATATCATAAGCTAAAAGCAAGGGAGAGCTACCGAAGCTAAAAGCAAGGGATAGCTACCGAACCTAAAATCAAGGGAGAGCTACAGAAGCTAAAATCAAGAGAAAGCTGCCAACAAATTGTATGTTGGTCAGACTAAATGAGGAACTAGAACTTGTTTTAAAGAACATCTGGCGCATAATCAAATTCAAAGATCAAATAAGTCTAATGACTCTCAACATGCCTCAAAAAATAACCATAATAACTGGAATTGTTTTGTGAAATTGGTTGCTTGTACAGGACATGACATAAAAACTTGGAACAGCGTAAATATTCTTTTCCAAAGAATCCTGCTTCCTTTTTATAATTATAAGAAAAGTTGTTTAACCATATTTAGAAAAGTCATAAGTATTTTGGAATTGAATAGATATAAACAGGCAAAGGGAGTTAGTTTCAGAAATTTTCCCTTTTCCAAATTCGTTTTCATCTACGAGAAGCTATTTTGGTTATATTAATTCTACTTCTCAATTCATTATGCACTCTTCCGATTATCTTTCAGTTTCCAAGGCAGTTAAATGGGCATTTGAAATGCGAAAGAAATAAACGCCTACCTTTCAGAAGACTCGCATCCACTGGGGCTAGAGCAAAGCTTTCCTCTTCGTTCCTCAACAGGGTGGTGTTGTCGAGGGCAGGCGTAGCAGGTTTTTCCGGAATCGGTTCGGGAATAGGTTCAGGATGAACCGAGTGCACAGAAGGCGTAGGCGTGGGGGCTGTCGGGAGTGGCATGGCCAGCGAGGTGGGCGGTCGAGAACCGTCAGAACTATGTAGAAGAAAAAAACAGGTTTGAAGAGACAGGAAAATGTAGTAACGGAGTATGAATATTAATGTAAAAGATTTCCTTTCCAGATTCTCCAATCAATCCCATCAAACTTTAGACCTTACCTTGCTCCCCCAACTGAAGGGGGCCCTCCAAAGTCCAAGTGGTCATCATCATCATCGCTATCGGGAGGTGGAGGCGGAAGCTCTTGAGGGGTTGGATCGGGAATACTGGCATCCACGGCGGGAACATCAGGCATGGGGGGTTCGTCGAAAAGTCCTCCTTCGAAAAGCCCACCTGCTGAATAATACAAGATAATTCCTGGGAGTATTCAAGATGGTACCGAAGCTTACCTATCATATTATTGTCCAAATTTGAGCCGAACCCGTCGTCCCTTACCGTGGTATCGATTTCCATGGGGGTATCGTGGTGCTGAGTGCCCGACGTCGAAGGGACAGGTTCAGGTTCCTTCTCCAACTCGACAGGCTCCAAAACTGGCTCGCTGAATAGCAGATTGCTCTGAAACCCAGATAAGATGATGAAGAGTTACTAATTTGAAGGTTATACAGAGACAAACCTGTTCCATAGATGGCGTAAGACCAGAGGCGTGTCTCATCAAATCAGGTGCGTCCGTATCGAAGCCCATATCGCCAAAACCATCGTCGTTGTTGACCAAAGAAATGTTTCCATAGTCCTCTCTCATGGTGATCTCTTCAGCTCTTGACTGGTTCATGCTGAATTGGGCTTCGATGTCAACATCGCTAAATAAAGGGAGAATCCAATTATAGCAACAATTTATTTATAGAGTAGAGTATGGCTATTTTCTTGTGTGATGATTCAAAATTTGTACGTAGTCTTCAACAAACTTTGAACTATTTCAATACACCAGATGGCTAATTATAAAAAAAATTAACGTGATCTTATAATCTAAAGGAGTTGTAATGCTAGTCAAGTTGAATGAATTAAGAATTTTGTTAATATTACGGGATGACCATCACGTCTAGCCAACAATGACTAAGTGCTCAATCACCACTCACTTCAACTCCGGCATGGTGGTATCAAAATCGTGGAAGACTTCTGGCAAAGTGATCGCGTTGACAGCCGCCTCCCTGTGCTCCTCGGGCAGATCTACCATGCCAGGCCTGAAGGCCATCTTAATCTTGACGAATGCTTCGTTGCAGTCGGCCAGGAGGTACTTCGCTTTCCTGGAATAGATCCTCACGACTCCGAGCAGCAGATGCCCCGATGTTCTGAGGGCCATCTTCACCTTAATAGTAAAAATAATAATTTATTAATCACTTTGGTACATTAGTACATGAGGTAGGTCAGGATTATCAGCACAAAATGAATAAAAGAAAATTTTGCCCTGACAACTTCCATCAACAAAATTCTCATATTAGTTTCAATGACTTGTCATAGTTTTTGGCATTTTTTTTAATCAAAATTACACTTTGCATCTAATTATAATGTACCTTATCATACTCTTCTTTAGGAGATGAAGACGCAAATTGGTTGGGGTGGAACGCGAGTCGAGAATAGTATTGTATTTTCACCAAATAATTAATAATAAAATTCTGACAAATTTTATTAAATTGACCCGAAATTATCAAGAGTGAAAAAAAATCCTTTGTTCGGAGCGGTAGCCACTGTAGTTAATTTTTCAACAGTTCCAACTTATGAGTGCCCTTATCTCTGAGAGTAAATCTAAGCAACAAGTTTTGACTTCAAATTCGAGTAAAGCAGACAAAAATACTTGAGTCTGATGAAAAAATTTCCAAAAAGTAGCGAGAATCATTAAAATGAATAATCTCTGGAAACTGAATCAGAAGAAAAAACAAGGTTAAATATACAGCTTTTGAAAAATATATAATTATTTGGCTGGGAATGTACCTATTTTCTAAAAACTCTTTATGGTTTTAGTAAACTTTGTCCAGTAATGCTCCAGTCACAAGATGTAAGTAATTGGATCATTAATTCTCAGTGTAAACATTCATTAATGGGCATTGATATTATATAAAATTACTCATATCATTCCTATGCATCAGTTGTAAACTTTTGGCACAAACAAATGGAAAACAAGAATTCCAACAACTTGAAACTTGTGACTTAGACCTTACCAAACATTGTTTCAGAAGTTAACTCCTCATAAAAAGTGGCAATCTGTTATTAAAACTGATGGCATTGTACCTTAGGCTGAAGAATCCCGTCGACGGACTTCTCGATGTTGGTCTCGAAGACGTGGGCCTTCGTGAGCTTCTTGTCCCAGTGGGCTGCCAGCCAGATCCTGGCCAGCGGCCCTTTTTTCGCAAGCACGAAGTGTGCGTAGAACATCTTTAAGCCGTACTAATCGCTACGGCGGGGAAACTTATCTGAAAATAGATTAGAAAACATTGGACAAACTGACAGCTTGTTTGCTGGACATAGCGTTGGCGCCGAACAATCGCTTTCACAACACTATAGTAGTTCTGATGCTTACTTGATTATAATTGGCACTGTTTAAGTGATTTGTGGTATACATAAATCGGATTTCAAGCAGATTTTTTCCGAAATTTCCATTCCCGAAGGAAATAATCCGCTCTTATTCATCAACACGGCAAAACACTGTTTTACATTAAAATGGCGACCGACAGTTAGGTGACTAGCAGACTGACAACATATTCTATGCGCGCGCGCAGGACCGTTATGCGAGCGGCAATTTTGAGTCAGATTGTAGTAGTTTAGCCGTTTTTGATTAGTGTTTGGTAATATTGGCGGTTTAAAATTACAGCAAGTTGTAAAACAATTATTTTCATGATATAGTTAGCGATTTCGTACATTACATTGATTCTAATGATATTTATTAACAGTCAAGGGTACTGACTGATTCGCTTTTTAAATTGCTGTCAAATTGACGTCAAACGCCAATCAAAAACTATTAGGTTGTTTCAAAAATTTTGTCCGTTTTAATGTCATGTGGTTTTGTAGCCCTATATCACAATGAATATTTATTCTATTGATCGATAGAAAATTTTGTACTAGTTTTTAACATCTAGTACATTCTAGTTCTAGTACATTCAACAGTTGGTAATTGTGATATATAGGTTGTTCACGTTAAGAAGAATGACGTCACAAAATGACAAGTACGGCGTTGCCAACATGTGCACTATTTCGAACTTTCAAATTTTTTTGGACTGTTGATGTTTTATTGCTATTATCCTTGCATATTGAATATACGCAGGTTTTTATCTCTAGACATTTATTGAAACAACGATAAAAATTGAATAAAAACAACAATAAAAATTAATTGGCGCTCCAGGGCGACTTCATTGATTCCAGTGGCGCATTTGCTTTTTCAGCTGCAGGTTTTATCAAAAGGAATGATTAGTTCTGAAAAGAAAAGAAAGGCTGACAGTTTTCGAGTTTTTTTGATTCGGCACCGTCTGAAATTTTACTATTAGCTGACCAACTTATAAAATGAAATGTTACTAGTTTCATTGCTGTTGTACGCATTACATTGAAAATTTTAACGTTGTTATGTTGGAATACAAAATTACCAAAAATGACGTCATTCTCTTCTTAATGTGACCAGCGTATATTTGGCTCAATAAACACAAAACAACTTTCAATTTTGAAAAATCGTCATTTTTATGTTTATTGATAAAAATCCCTCCAAGACAACAACTTCTAAACTAGAGATGGACGAGAATTGAAACGGTCGGTTCGACGTTTGTCTTTGTTCTCAATCGGCCGCCGTGTTGATCGGTGGTTCAAGCCGCAGGCTATCGTCCAACCCGTGTTAGGAATCACAAGCTAAAAGGTAAGACTTCGTTAGTCAACGTTTGTTTGAAGGTGGTTGACATGCATATGAAAGTGGTGAAATGCACCATGAAACATTACCTTGTTAGTCCTTAGCTCGCACAAGTTTTGACTTCTGAGGTTTGTCGTTAGTAGGGGTGCGACAGCTGGTTAACGGAAAACATATTTTAAACAGATTTCTTAAACAGATCTGCACTCTCAAGCGTGTTAAGGTTCGATATTAAATCAAAAAGTTCAGCTGCCCATAAGACGGCGATATCACTTGTAGATTCTTGAAAGATGAACGTGGCGGGATAGCCTTAGTTGATGATGCCTTTGAATCAAAAAGCAGAAGAAAAGATGAACGTTACGCGACAGTTTGAACTAGGCTTCCGTGGTTCACAGGGAGTAAAATCTTACAGTCACTTACTATAATGGAAATTCAAAAATCAAACTGAGAATTCGAACATTTTTTTCATTATAACAGAACCGATATTTCTACAAACAATTACAATTCATTTAAAGTTGAAATTATGACTTCTAAGATAAATATTGGGGGAATATAAATCTGAGTTTAATGTCAGACATATGAATAAATTAAAACTTCCATTGAAATAACGATAAAAATTAAATGAAAACAACAATTGTTATTCTCATTTCATTGTGAAAACAACAATTGTTGTTCTTATTTAATTTTTATCGTTGTTTCAATAAAAGTGTTTATGTCAATAAATAATCAGTATGGTCTTTTCACGCTTTGTCACAATTATAAGAATAATTGCCAATGAGTCTTTAAACGATAAATGAGGTGAATATAGATTAATTATATAACACATATGTCAAGAGTTCCTTTTCCATAACACAGGAGCCAAGTTGCAACTGATGCAAAGCGCTCCCTCATAGGTAAAACTTGAAGACAACTACTTGGTGACTCTCTGGGAAGTGGCTCTATATTTTTTAACGAAAATAATGAGAATTTGAGTATAGGAATCACTTTTAGTACAATACAGGTGAAATAGTTTCATGTTGGTCTATATAAGACGCGGAAGCCGCACATTGGTTTATATGAGTATTCTGTGATTTTGGACTGGAATCCGGGTATTTTCATTTTGAATAATATCAATAATATCTAGGGACAAATAATGATTTTAGGCTAAACAAACCAATGGAATATTCATTATTCTGAAAAGGAAGTTAAGACTTACTCGAGGGGCGTGTCAGTGTTATGTGTTTTCAATAATACAGCTTTAAAATTTATAATGTGAGTGTAATTCATAAAAATTAGTATAAATAAATTTACATTCAAAAACTGTTTCTGCCACCGGAATCTCTTTTTTCCCAAAAACTTCCTCGAAAATGATACCATTGAACTATTATTTCTTCAATTATTGCTGGTTCTTTTATATATTGAATATTAATAATGAATGCTAAATCAAAACGGATGTCTGTCTCTAACCGTTTCAACTTATGCAATAAGCCATACAACCAAACGTATTGTGGGTGGCCTGAAGTGTAAGAATTGAGAACGTTATTCCCATTTGCGATTTCAGAATCGATTCGCCACAAGTCAAAAGTGACAGTGACGTAGAAACGAAGAGGTTATAAACACCCGTGCCGTTTGTTATTTTCAGTTCCGTGTAACATGGCGAGATATTTGTCTCGTCACGCAGAAGAGATACTGTATTTCGTATTAGTACTGTTCGTCGCTCCCTTTTGCACAGCCTTCGTTGACGAATACGCTCCCGTGTTCAATTCTATAGAGGTAAAACCTCCGGTAGAACATGAGGACTACAAAACAATTGTTTTCGAAGTGCGCGGAAGAAATATTCACAACGGCATTCAAGTCAAAGCGACGAAAAGCGAATTTGAAAGAGGTGCTGAGTGCCAGGACTTGAACCAGTTCAACTATCACATTAGTGAGATCCGCACTTTGGAGTACAAATGGGGAAAGTATGAGTTGAGAGTGCCAAAAGACGTACAGGGCAATATTTACCTGTGTTTACCGCGAAAGGTTGGGAAAGATAGTGGACTAGTACCCAGTTTATTCAGTAGTGTGTATAAATGGTACAGCCAAGGACCTAATGTTACTATAGATGTTCCTTATACGAACTTGACAGGACGAGGGTGAGTGTTTATTAGACAAGAAAAGTATTTTTTTTTCGAGTTGTATATGAGAATTGCGTGATATAATTTGAGCCACTTTAATATGAATGTTTGCTCTGATAATCTTCACGAGTAAACACTTCAATCATATCTTTTGCGGTCACATCATACTTTTATCCGTTTCCAATCAAATTGTGCAATTTCTGTAGTTTGTTTTTATGACTCTTGCTCCATTTCCAAGCTGCTGCAACGTATTACTTTCTACAGAGGAATAACCTGTCTCTCAGTAATTGTTTTGCTGTTTTATAAACTACATAACGAAGTATAGATAATTCATTTAAAACTGCATCAAACCAGTTTTTGCTAGTGTTAAAAGTCTACTTCATAGTTAGCAAATGTTGCAATTTTTGGCTCTTATCCCAGTTTCATTCATCTAACAACAAGTATATTTCCTGGTTTCATTTCGAAGTTTTTTTCCAATATCTTTTGATTTGCAATTCTCTTTTAATTAAAGACAGGAATCGAAGTGAAAGCTATGTTTGTTTTAGTACAGTAAAATTACTTTAATCTTTAAAATCAATTCAACATTTTTAGTAAAAGCCAAGAATATTTTGTACCTAGAAATTGGATTTTCAAGTTTTCCTAGAAGCTTCGAACATTCTAGAATCAACATGAAAAAACATCATTTTCGATCATATATCGTATCAACAACCTGAATTTTCCTTTAAAAATCTCTTGTAATGATTTCGTTATTTGTCATATGTCAAATATCAAAGTTACTGTGTCGAAGACTTCAAAAAAAGCTTCGTTGTCTGAGTAATTTATTCTTGATTTGGGTGTCAATGAATAATAAAATTTGTTGGTGTAACATAATTTGCTTAAGTTTGTTGTAAATTTTTGCTACTTAACGTCAATATAGCAACAGAAATGTTTCTATATAATTTTTGAAGCAGATCGAAATTGTTTTTATATTGCTTAAGTTAGTTGTAAATTTTTGCTAGTTACCGTCAATATAGCAACAGAAATGTTGCTTATTGAAAAGTTCAAATTCACGAAAGACACTATCAAAAATCTGTTGATGGAAATTATTATTATATTTTTCACTTATTCAAATGGTAGTTCCATACATTTTCAAAAAAAAACATTTTATAAATTTACCTGGAACTTGAGTACCTAATTTAAACTTTTTTCTGGATTTCCGATCTGGCCGTTTTTGGCTTAATTTCACTGTATTATTTTGCATTCAGTTTTGCATGGCCTCATAAGAATACGTACTGTCACTGTTCGAAATAAAGTTGACTTGATACCTAGTATCTGAATTTAAATAACAGTACCTAATGCAAATTGGGTTTCTAATATGGAGAGCTACCAGTTATTTTTTTATTAATCATCGAGCAATCACGATCTTGTGCTTGTGAATCCCTTCCATGACTTCATTGACACTCAGGCAGAAGTAGGTATTATATATTTTAGTGAGAAGGATTAATGTGAATTCAGCCACAGTTTCTGGGAAAACTTATTGACATAGAAGGTTGGACGGTGTTGCCAGATAGCTTCTCTTCCGCAACTTCTTTATAATGTTTCTGACGATTCGAATCGTTCCCGTGTGTAAGGAAGACCTTAATTTTTTCAGCTACCACAGAAGTTTCATGCTCAACCTAAGAATATACTACTTCGCTGAAAAAATAAGGGGAAAATTCGTTTTTCTCAAAAAATATTCATTCAATCATCAACTTTTTATTTTGTCTTTCCAAGTAGTCCCCCTCAGATATATTACGCGTGTGCCAGCGTTTTTTCCAATTCTCAGTCAACTCTGATATGCACTTTGTTATGTCCTTAAGCTCTCTCGGCGATTCGGATTTTATCTGTTCAATCGTCGCAAAACGCCGTCCTTTCATGGGTCTCTTCAGTCTTGGAAACAGGAAAAAGTCACAAAGTGCCAAATCTGGTGAATACGGTTGCTGAGGTATGATTACAGCGCATTACTTCAAGATAATACTCCTTATTGATCGGCAAGAACTCCTGATGCACTACGCCACCGTAATCGAAAAAACCAGTAAGCAAAACCTTGACGTTTGATAAAAATTGGCGTGCATTTTCTGGTCTAGGCTGACCTGGGATCTTCCTTTGGGACGATTGGACTTTGGTTTCGATGTCATAAACATATATCCACTATTTGTTACCCTATCAAGAAAATCTGAATCTCCGTCGACGTCACTCAATAACTTCTGAGCGATGCTGAGGGTTTGTTGCTCATCCACGTAATTTTTCTCATTTTTTTTCTTCAAATTCTATGTTTCACTTCATTCATCTTGGTTATTTTAATAGAAAGTGATGTTTGTTACAACTTTGACATCATTTACCACAAACATATCCAAGGTACTATGTTTCTCAATTTTCTGTGCCAGTGAATAAGTGCTTATTCATTCACGATAGTATAGAACAGTTTTGATACACATTTTCTACAAGGTTCATCCAAAATTCTTGACTTGTGTTCATTTTCCGTTAACTCAGTGTTTCATCATTTGAAATATCGGCTTCGATGATTTGTATCTTTATTTCGAATTTCAAATTTATTACCCCGCAAACAATTGAAGGGCACTGTGTACACCACCATGTCGTTGTCAGGGACAAATCAATTTGTTGGGCCTTTGGCTATAATAATAAGCATCAAAACTTGGTGTTTGGGCTGTAACAAATTAAAATCACTGTTCAGCAGCAGACATATACAGGGTCAAATTAATTTGTTTGGTGGTAATAACCGGGGAAAATAATTTCTTGACGGATCTCCATAAAGTAAAGGAATATTATACATGTATGTCGTCTTTTTGACACTCGAAATATTTCGGGTAGATTACTAGTACTCTTTAAAAATACGTCTTAGTAAAGTATGTTTTTGTGATGAGCTTTTATTGTAGTGAAATAGTTATTGTATTTATTACAAAAAATGTTTGTCAAACTTGTTACTGCTATTAATTATCATATATTAACGGGCCAGTGCATTCATAATTATAATTTTGAAAAAAAAGTAAAACAAAATGGAAAATCGATCATTTTCAGGAATGTTTACTTTTAATTATTGAATATTGAGCTGAAGAATCACATATTCCACGTCTGGTAAGATCGTTATTTTTCGATTTATACCTAAGGAGAGGTGGGGGTGAACCTAAGTATTCTATTATCGCGTTTATTATTGAAGTATTTGTATTTTTTTTGTCTGTATTGAAAATTTGATGAAAATTTGATGTGTTGATAATGTAATTTGTTAAAATTATGATGCCGGTGATACCATAATATTATTTTTAGACCTTTTAGTTCGATGTTCTTTAAAAGCGTGTTAAGACAATCCCGAGGAAGCCATTATATGGCGAAACATGTGTTGCGTTTTTGTAAAACTGTCTAGTGAAAATCACACAATGAAGTGTTTTTAGAATACGTTAGTTATGAATTTTCATTAAGTATCGGCCGATTCCATCATATATAAAAGCGTGTTTTTTAGTTTTATAAACTATATTTATTTTGTATAAACTTTGGGATCAATCAGCCGTATATTATTTAGAAAAATGACCATTAATATTTCCGTACAGCGCCATCTACCCGCGAATAGATCAAGCAATAATGTCAATATATAAAGGATGTTACGTACAGCGCCATCTGCCCGCGAATAGATCAAGCAATAATGTCAATATACAAGAGTGACCAATTTGTAATGGAAACACCCCCCTAAAATTTGAAGTTGTAAATCGATTTTAATAATTTTTAATGTCAAGTACTAAAAGGTCTACCTTGGGACAAAATTTGAAATGTTTATTGAAGTTTCAGGGCATACTACGATATTTTTTCTTAGTCGAAAATCGGGATTTTTTATTAGCGATTTTTTTATTGAAAAAATCACTACGCCACTGGATTCAGAGTGCCTCTAAATAGGTGTGACCAAAATTTCATGAAAAAATATTCATTATTAACAAAGTTATGACAACTCAAAAATTCGAAAACTCACACAG